ACATGAGAAGAAAGTGGTAAGTAAATAGGAAAGGACTTGGATTCATCAAGCACTAAGACAACTGTCGGTTGGATATTAGAGTTTAAGAGAGAAAGTGGTCATGGTAGTTTAGGTCTACATTGTAAGGTGTCTGCAGAGGTACTACTTGAATGGGTAGGATGTGAGAAATTATGGAAGCAGTTTTGGGTAGGAGAGAAGCACAATAACAATTCTATTTTAGGACAGATTTATGTTAGCAAAGGCATGTAGGACATATTGGAGTAGTGTGAGTCATCAGGTTGCAGAATGGAAGAAAACGATAGGTGGTGTTGACTCTGGTATGTTATTGGCACCCTGCTAGTAGCTGCTCATGACTGCCTCCCAAGGTATTGACACATCTTAACTCTGCTTGTGGGAATCTTGATACCCATCTGGAAAACAAGTCTTTAAGCAGCTGGGCTTAGTCCTCTGAGCCATACCTCTTAGCTGTATATAACTAATGGCTACCCATAGGCTGCTGTGACACTCACATGAAAAGACATTTGTCACTAATTCATGTCATGTAGTGAGGGCCTAATATATGTGTAATTCAACTTTCTGAGTAAGAAACACAGTTATTAAGACAGTGATGACTAGAAGAAGTAGAACTAGGGTAAATAACAGTAAGTCGTGTTTTCTAAGAGGAACTCTGGCGGCTCATGCGGGCTAGCATTGGGTTGCTAACCGCAAAGTTGGCACTTCAAACCCGACAGGTGCTCCAAAGATGAGGCTGCCCCAAGCTCCCGTAAAGATTTACAGTCTCAGAACCCCACGAAGCAGTTCTGCTCTCTCTCGTATGGTTGCCATGAGTTAGAATTGACTTGGCAGTGGGCTCGTGTTTTCTACAGGGCCTTTTCATACCTGGAACCTTCAAATGCTACATGGTTCCAGCTTACTAAGGCACAGATAATGAAGAAGTGTTAATAGATAAGATGAAGGTGGCTGAGTACTTTGCCAGTACATTCTGGAGATCAGCCACGAAGGATGGTGGTAAGAGAGAAAAGCAAACAAGAATGCCCGGTGACCTGCAGTACCTGTGGCATCACAGGGCATTGGTAGCTAGAACAGTGTGTGGCTGTCATAAAAAGCTGCTTAGTGGTCCTGGAATAGGGTGTGAGACTTAGTTTTCTGGTAGCTTAATACAAGCAGTGTGGCAGTGACAGCTTTATTACCATGTCAGGTATTCAAAGGGTTTTTCTGGTTGCTTTAGGTGAAGGAAGTACTCTAGATCAGGAGTACAAGTTCTGGTCATTGTAGGGCAGAACTGATTCTTGCTTAGAAAGTAATTAACTAAGATTTTCCCACATTCTTCTCACTTCACTTTCTCTTGCTCTGCATCACAGTGAAGGACCTTTTGGAAAAGCCACTAAAGAAACTGAAATTAAACCAACTTTGCGTTTTAATGTTTATTGGTTGATCTATTTCTAAACGTGTTTTGTAGGCCTGCCGTATCCCAAACAAGCACCTCTTTTCACTAAACGCCGGAGAACGAGGATGTTTCTGCCTTGCTTTCTCCCAGAATGGAAGAATCCTAGCAGCAGCCTGTGCCAGCAGGGACGGCTACCCGGTCATCTGTGAGTAGTGCCCTGCCTGTCTCAGTCTCACTCTGTGTCTACGGGAGCTGGGGCTCTGGCGTGTAGCGATCACCGGGATCTGAACTGGAAGCATCTGTAGTAGCCCTACACTCAATGCATGGCTCGAGGTAGATTACCAGTGCTTTTAGAATACTGTTACATGGTCCTTACAGTGTTGTTCAGAAACACAAAGCAGGATCAAAGGAAGGGTGGTAAACATGAAAAAAAAATCCTTTAAAAAACTTTCTACGTTAAATACAGAAATGTATGTGAAGGATTGATATGTCTCACATAGATTACTAGTCCAGTGTGGTTAGGGAATATCAGTGATAGTTTGTTTATGAAAACATGCACATCTCGTATGCCCCAGCGAAGTACTGTATTGACTCGGATCTTCCGACGGAGACTTCTCAGTATGGTAAGGAAGTCAGCAGAGAGACCAAAACCCCTCTTTTCAACTTTATTTTTTAAAAATAACAGGAAACAATGTTTAAAAAGTTTTGTTTCTGTAACTTTAGAGGGTTTTCGTTTGTTAGGTTTCTTTTAACTGTGTTAATATGCCCTTTTAGTTTTAGAAACATTAAATACTTGCCCCTACTTCCTGTTCAGTAGCTGCAGAAGGTGTAACCCAGCCAGATCCTCAGGGACCCCTGTCCTGACTGGTACAACCGTGGTGGACTCTGCTCAGCTTCACACACATTGTTATTCTTGGTCTGATTCACCTTCTGAATTTCCGAGAGAACTCATCGTTTACTTGATTGACATTTAGTCAATAAATATTCCTCCTAAAAAAGTAGTGGTAGCTTTAGATATATATAGACAGTTCTTTGTACAGTTTGATTACAACTATACTATTTTAAAATTTCACCTAAAGCTGTATGGGGGGTAAAAAAGATTCTTGGAACATATACCTCCAAATACTAATACTGCATTCTTTGGGGTATATAAGAATTATTTTGTGCTTTATATGTTGTTCACCTTTTTGTGCTAAACATGTTACTTTACATACAAGGAAAATGATCTTGCTCAAATTTTCAAATAAATTTGATGCACCGTTGTATCTTGTCTTCAGGCAGTCGGTGGAAGAATGGAATTAAAATAGTATGGGGTTTCCCCAGAAACTGTTTGAAGTCCCTCATATACTTAGGATTAAAATTTCAAATAATAATAAAGAATATAAGCTCATGAATCCATTAGATGACTGACCAATAAGGTTGCTAATGTTTAAAAAAACCGAATTGCACTAAAATTGCTTTGATGCTACTCTTTTTTTTTTCCCCACAATAGTTCTCAGTCTCTCAGAGCACTCTTTTAATGGTCTGGATTCTGTAATATATTGCAGTGGCTACACAGAACTCACAGATAGCGCTAAGGTTTGTGGGGTTATTAATGGAAGTTAACAGGTTACAATTCCGGTGAGAAATGCTCAGGATTTGGTTGTTCAGTCACAACATGTTACAAAGTTCTTTTAGGGCTGCTAATAAATGCCCAGAGGCCATGCTACTCCCCTGTAAGGTTCAACCTGAAGGCACTCAGCTCCACCTCCCTGGGTCAGCAAACCCAGCTCCCCTAATTAAGTGCCCAGAACTGTGAGCCAACAAACCTAGCTCTCCCACTTAAGTGCCCAGAGGCATCCCACTTCACCAGCCAGCCTCGTGCCCCCAAGCAGCTTTTCTTTCTCTGGACTGAGAAGTCCACTGCTCTGTCTCTTGGTTCTGCTGCTGCTGCTGTTCCTCTGCTGTGCCTCTTGGATCACAGCTGTCTCTGGAGTCAAGGATATTCACCTAACGTATGATTTTTTAAAAATCATTTTATTGGGGGCTCTTACAGCTCTTATAATAATCCATACATCAGTTATGTCAAGCACATTTGTACATATGGTGCCATAATTTTCAAAGCATTTTCTTTCTACTTGAACCCTTGGTATCAGCTCCTCTTTTTGCTGTCTCTCCCCAACCCTTGTGACCCTTTGATAAATTATAAATTATTGTTATTTTTCATATCATATACCATCTGCTGTCTCCCTTCACACACGTTTCTGTTGTTCATCCCCCTAGGGGTTGGGAGGGAATGTGGTTATACATGATCATTGTGCTCGGTGCCCAACTTTTTCCCTTTCTTCCCCACCTCCCCCCTACCCTCTTGATATCGCTACTCTCATTACTGTTCCTAAGGGATTTATCTGTCCTGGATTCCGTGTGTCGAGAGGTCTTACTTGTACCAGTGTACATGCTCAAGTCTAGCCAGATTTGTAATGGAGAACTGGGTTCATGATAGTGGGGAGGGGGGGGGGCGCATTAAAGAACTAGAAGAATGTTGTGTGTATCGTCAGTGCTATATTGCACCCTGGCTAGCTCATCCCTTTGTCCTTCCTTGTGACCCACATGGAAGAAGCACACCAGCCTGTGTGATCACAAGGTGTCGAGGGGATCAGATATCAGGCTTTGTTGCTTCTGAACTAGATTACCTTCAAGCCTTTAAGACCCCAGAGGGAACGTTGTAACATTATTCCAATGCATTTAGCATGTGAAGTTTTTATCTTGTAGATGATAATAGCACATGAATAGCCAGTTGCCCCAGCACTGTTTCCTCATCAAATTGTCTTCGGCCCTTGTTGAAGATCAGTTATCTATAAATGTCAAGGTTTATGTCTGAAGTCTCAACTGTATTGCAGTTACCTTTCCATCAACATTGCACTGTCACTGCCTGTGTAACTGTAGCTTTGGAATTGAGAAGTTTAAGTGCTCCAACTTTATTCTGTTTTCTTCCCCAAGGTTGCCATGATTATTCTGGCCCCCATGGATTTCCATAGGAATTTTAGGGTTGAATTTCTGAAAATTAGATGTCAGTTTCTGGAAAACACTAAAATACTGTAGAAATTTGGTAGAGATTGTGGTGAATCTGTAGATCAATTTGAGAAGTATTGTCATTTGGGCACTAAGGTTTATAATACAAAAATAAAGGGAACATATGGAATATTCCATTCATCCTCTAGATTCTCCTAGTGATGCTTATGGTTTCCACTGTATATTTCTGTGGCCTCTTCCATTAAGTTTATCTGGGGGATTTTATTTTTGTTGGTATTGCAGATTTATTTTAATTACATTTTCATATTTTTTGCTATGACATAGAAATACATTTTTACATATTTACGTGGTATATTGTAACTGATGAACTCATTTATTAGTTGTAACCAGTTATATTTTGTTGGCTCCTTGGGATTTTCTTTGTGCAAAATCATGTCATTAGCAAGTTGAAATATTTTTCTTTGTTTCCAATCCAGATACCTTTTGCTTACATTTCTTTCCCAGTTTCCCTGTGTAGAACTTCTGGAACTGGGTTTAATGGCGTGCATGTTCTTAGGTTTTAGGCTGGTTTTAGGGAGAGAACTCTGATGCTCCCATCATCGAGTATGGTGTTAGCTGTGGGCTTTTTGTAGAGGCCTTTATCAGCTTGAGTGCCCGTCGTGTTCTTATGTTGAGCATTCCTATCATGCAAGGGACTGGGTGGTGGCAATGCTCGCTGGACACCTGGGTGCTAAGGGAAGAGTCAGCACTTTGGACCCCGCCGCTCTGCAGGAGAAAGAGCTGACACATGGCTGTGGAGCGATGTAGAGCCTGGCAGCGTGGGGGTGGGTCTGCTGCACCCTGGGTGTCACTGAGTAGGCGCTACAGCAACAGTTTTTTCATGAAGATTTTTTTTTAATGAAATAAATTTCTGCATTTCTTGAAATGGTCATGTGGTCTTTGTCCTTTATTAATATGGTAATTATATCGACTACTCTTTTTTATGTGAACCAGTCTCCCATTCCGGAGATGTATCTCATTTGGGCATGCTGCTGGGTCTGTCTTATAGGAGGCTACATCAAAAGGTCACACATGCCCATCAGTGTCTGTGTAGCCAGTGGATGGTCACAGATGAGTGTTCTAATTGATATGTTTGAGTTAGTCTTATAGGATGCCTTAAACAAACAAAACCAAGGTCCAGTTAAAAATGGTTGTTTCCACAGGGACCAGCTGGGCTACTGTAATTCAAGGCAGAGAAGTCAGCTCAGAAGGTTAAGGTTCTCGAGACTGGTTTTGGGGACTTTGAAGAGGTCCTGATCGATTGTCCTACAGGGCAGAGGACAGTCACTGAAGCTTAATTAGTACTGGTGAGGAAAAGGCCAAGAAAATTGCACCAAGGAATTTTTTTCTCCCTTCACAACAATGCACCTGCTCACTCATCCAGATTAGTAAGGACTGGCCTACAAGAATTGATGATTTTCGATGACAAGGAGGGTGTAGGAGGCTTGGTAGGGTTTGATCAAGGGCATTGTAACTGAGAGCAATTACTGAAACCCAAATGAAGGGTGGGACAAGAGGAAAGTTAAAGGAAATAGGGGAAAGAACTAGGAGGCAAAGGACATTTATAGAGGTCTAAATGCAGGCATGTACATAGGTAAATATATTTATATATGATGATGGGGAAATAGATCTATGTGCGTATATTTATAGGTTTAGTATTAAGGTAGCAGATGGACATTGGGCCTCCACTCAAGTACTCCCTCAAGGCAAGAACACTTTCTTCTATTAAACTGGTATTCCATGATGCTCACCTTCCCGACATGATCACTGAAGACAAAATGGGTGCATAAGCAAATGTGGTGAAGAAAGCTGATGGTGCCTGGCTATCAAAAGAGATAGCATCTGGGGGTCTTAAAGGCTTGAGGATAAACAAGCGGCCATCTAGCTGAGAAACAGCAAAGCCCACATGGAAGAAGCACACCAGCCTGTGTGATCACAAGGTGTTGAAGGGATGAGAACAAAAATCAAAGAACAAAACATCATATCATTGTGAATGCGGGGGAGTGCGGAGTGGCCCATCCGTAGGCAACTTAACATCCCCTTACAGAAGGGTCGCGGGGAGGAGATGAGCCAGTCAGGGTGTGATGTAGCCATGATGAAACATACAACTTTCCTCTAGTTCTTTAATGCTTCTCTCCCCACCCCACTATCATGATCCCAATTCTACCTTACAAATCCGACTAGACCAGAGGATATATACTGTTACGGATAAGAACTGGAAACACAGGGAATCCAGGACAGATAAACCCCTCAGGACCAATAATGATAGTAGTGATACTAGGAGGGGAAGGGGAAGGTGGGATAGAAAAGGGGAACCGATCACAAGGATCTATATATAACCCCCTCCCTGAGGGACGGACAACAGAAAAGTGGGTGAAGGGAGACCTCAGTGTAAGACATGACAAAATAATGATATTATAAATTATCAAGGGTTTGTGAGGGAGGGAGGGTCCGGGGGAGAGGGCAAAAAATGAGCTGATACCAAGGGCTCAAGTAGAAAGCAAATGTTTTGAGAATGATGAGGGCAACAAATGTGCTTGACACAATGGATGGATGTATGGATTGTGATGAGTTGTATGAGCCCCCAATAAAATAATTTTAAAAAGAAAAAAAATTGACGATTTTGTTGAGAAACCTTTCCCTGTCCATCCCACAGTCCTGATCTTGCGCCGTTAGACTTCTTTTTGTTCCCCAAACTTAAAGAAATTGCAAAGGAACACAACTTGAGTGCTTTGAGGATGCCAAAATGCCATTTTGACATGGTGTACATTGAAAAGTACAGAATCATTTGGGCAAAGATTAGAGAAACAGGGCTTTCAGAAGCATACAACCTAGATCCTATAGATGTTGAAAAATAATAGCTTCATGTTTTTATATTTTTAATAAAAGTTTTAAAGATTTTGTAATGCTATTTGACTTACACTCAAATTATATATGTTACATTTTGTATGTTTTTGGATGGTTCACAAGGAACTTGAAGATTCTTGAATTTCCATTTATTAGAGATAGCAATTTATAATTTTATTTCTTGTTTTATTATAAAAAAAATTTATTAATTTATTTTTATGGATATCAGAGTAATCCTAGCCTGATAGAATGAATGAATGGAGAAGTGTTCCCATCTACCTTTGGGGGGAAGTATTTGTAAAGGGTTGTTATAAAGTCTTTAGCCGTTCAATAAAATTCACTAGTTCAGACATCTGGCCTGGGCTCTTTGAGGGATTTTTTAAAAAAATTAGTTTCTTTACCTGCCATAGGTCTGTTTAGATTTTCTATTTCTTTTAAGTCACACTTAGTATTTAGTGTCTTTCTAGGAACTTGTCCATTTCATATGAGCTGTCTTAATTTGTTGGCGTGTGATTATTCATACAACCAAAATGTAAAACCCCATGAATTGCCAACGAGTCGGTTCCCACTCAGCACAGCCCTGCAGGACGGGGGCATCTGCTGTAGAGGGTTGTCAAGCCTCTGCGTACACCTGCAGAAGCCGACTGACTGCTTCATCGCCCTCACGCAGACCTGCTGGGGCTTGGGACGGCTGGCCTTTCACAAGCAGCGCGCACTGAGCCACTCACCACCGCTGCTCCTTATTGTTCATCATTATCCCTTACAGTCTTTTTTTATTTGGGTAATGTTCTTAGTGGTATATACTCTTTTTACTCCTGGTGTTCTTAAATATGATTTTTTTCTTTTCCTCTTTGGATGAATCTAGCTATAGATTTATGAATTTTGTTGATGTCTTTTTAACAAACACTGAATTTTCTCTATATATCTCTCAATTTAAGCATAATATTTCGTCTGCTGGGCATGGGTTTATTTTGTTGCTTACTTTTTGTTTTTAATACCTTCAAATTGAAAGGTTGGAAAGGATTTTAGTTAGTTCTTTTTTTAATGGAGTTATATACAAAAGATTTTTGGGAGTCTTTAATTGCCGTGACTTGGAAACAACTCATTAGCGTGTGTGTGTGTGTGTGTGTGTGTGTGTGTGTGTGTGTGTGTGTGTGTGTGTCTATAGTCACTGCCATCTGATTGTAGTTAGAACTCAGAGGTTTCTCTAGGACAGAGTAGAACTGCCTCTGGGAGTTTCCGAGAATGTAACTGATGCAGGGAGTGGAAAGGCCCTTCTTTCTCTTTTCGGATCACCACCAGTTGGCATCGATTTATGGCAGAGGGAGTGGTTAAGAGTTTTCTATTTTAGAGAAAAAATACTTTAGCCACTAGGTGGGAGTAGAGACTTAGGAACTTTTAAATTCTAGTTGAAGTGAGTATCTTAGAAAGTTGCGTTGTGCTGTTCCTGGAAAAAAGGAATTAAAGGTCATGAATGCTCTTTTTCCAGGAACTTTTTGAAACCCCCTTCTGTAACACTGAGTGAAATCACCCCTAGTGCTGTCTGCCAAATTGTATCTCTGTCCATCCACTTCCTAGCCCTACAGTTTTACTATTAGATTTTTCTTGATAATACTATAGTATAGATTTCTCATTACTGCACAAAAATCAAGAGTGAAATTGCACTAATTTTCAAGCAATACAGAAAAATATGTGAAAATGAACCTGTGCTGGGCCAAAACCTGTCAAGGCAGGCAAAACTCAGATACTTTGTACTCCAGTGTGAGAGAGAAGAGCGAGCGGTAAGGCCACAGCTGCTCAAAGGCAGACAACCCAGCCAACAAGGCAGAGCTGCGCGCGCCACCTTTGCAGGTCTCACTGCCAGATAGTAGAATGTTTCAAGTTAAAAGCAATTTAAGTGCAATTTACTCTTTGATTAATAGCTTGCACATCAAAGATTTTTGGGAGAGTTGCTTTGAAGAGATGAGAATGCTTTTAAGGAGAGCATTTTGTAAGATTTTACATGTGTGCAGATTCATGTATCTCAAGTGTGCAAAAAACAATTCTGCAGTAATTTTTGACAGCTGATTTGCTCTGAAATATCATTGGTGGTAATTTTCCTGAAGACTGGTTACCCGTGTCCAGCTTACTGTCCATTCAGAGTTTGCATGTTGATGGGTTTTATCCTTTGCCTGGAAACCTCGTAATTTCCCAATGTCTTCCTTAGTGTACGAAATCCCTACGGGACGATTCATGAGAGAGCTGTGTGGCCATCTCAATATCATTTATGATCTTTGCTGGTCAAAGGATGACCGCTATATCCTGACTGCATCGTCGGACGGCACAGCCAGGTGAGTACGCCGACGGAGGACTCGCTGGGTGTGCTGCCTGGGTGAAAAGCTGCCTGTGCTGTGACTGTTCTTAGCTGCAGATGTGTCTTACCTGCATGTCGTGGTCTAAGTATGCATCGCCCAGACTGGCTCCATAGCAGCTGTGAAAGTTCTTCTTGAAGATACTTAAGTGTGTGTCGTAGACATAGGAAACAAGGGTAAGTCAAAAAGCATTGCTGCACAACATAAAAGTTCATTACACAGAAATATCCAAAATATCCAAAAGCGATTGTTTCTCGGCGTACCCTCCATCTAGGTCTCTTTACGCTGAGGATGCTTTTTCCCTCTCTAAACTTTTTCCCCAAATAACGCCATCCTTTTTGATGTACATCAGGTAAAAACAGCAGTTTGGGCTTTCTTGAGGGACTTCAAATTGTGCTCCTTTTTAACGTTCTTTGAGTTTGGGGAAGAACTAAATCCATAGGGACAAGATCAGGGTCCTAGAGTGGATGGGCTAAAGCTTCCCAATGAAATTCCCAATTCCCTTAGGACAGCCCTTTTAGTATCCTGAAAGAATGACCACGTGCATTTTCATGATGGGAAAAATTTCCTCGGCACAGTTTTTCTGGACGTATGTGTAGAATTTTTAGTTTTCTTACAAGTTCGTTTGAATTTAGCCCCCTTGATTGCCCTTTGTCCTTCAGGAAAATCTATCGAGATGACCCTTTTGACCCTTTGGAAATTACAAAAAAAACCCAACCCAGTCTCCATAACCGTCTGGAGACGGTTTGCCCTTTCTGCCTTCAATTCAGTTGGCCACTGTTATGATTGGACCTTATTTTGAAGTCAGCATAATGAGACTACGGCAAGTGTATATTACTGAGAGAACTTGTTTGTGGTCATGGACCGAGGCAGACATGTTTAAACAATTTGTGGCTGAGGGAGGATTGGCCCTGTGCATGTACACTAGAGCTTTCTTAGCAATCCTGTTCTGACCTACCCTGTATGACATTTCTAGCCCTCAGTGTCTTTAAATTCTCATTAATTAAATATACTGCTCTGGTTATACTTTGTGTTGAGGGCAGTTATTGAAAAACTGTGATTTTTCTAGAATGTAAACTTGTAGGCAACATGAATTCTGCTTTCCCTGCTGGCTGGATGCAAAAGCTAGAGCACAGTGCTGTTCAGAACCTAGCGGTGAGGTAGATAAATGAATATGAACCTTATGTTTAAGGAGCTTTAGGTTGTTGAGTACTTGAATTTTTAAAACGTCTTAAAATAATATACGGTATCCCTTTTAATTCAATACACAGCATAATGAAACACTTGAACAATTACTTTTAAAAGAAGTTCCAGGAAGACTTCTTTAGTTGCTTGTTCTCCCTTGTCTGGGTTCTTAAAATACTGTAGACCGTTTGCTCAAATATATTTGCCTCTTAATTCTAGAACTATTTTTTAAAAACCACAAACTCAATTGCCATTGAGTTGATTCTGACTCATAGCAACCCTATAGGGCAGGGTAGAGCAGTCCCTATGCCTTTCCAAGACTTGAGCCCGTTGTGGGAGTAGTAGAAAGCCTCATTGTCCTCCCTCAGAGCTGCTGGTGGTTTCGAAATGCTGACCTTGCAGTTACCAGCCCAGAGCATAATCCACTACACCACCAGGGCCCCTTAAGTAGGTATGCACCCTCTTCTCTCTCTGAGCAGGAAACTGACATTTAGAACAGCTAGAGATTGTCTTCACCTAGTTCCGGTTTCCTGCTCTTTGGCCACATGAACACTGCCAATCTCTAGGCACTGGGTTCAGTATAAAATGCCAAGTTGATCAAGATGTTATCATTGCTATTTGGTTTATATTTAAATGAAAAAGATGGGGTACAGTGGCAGTTTGGCCTCCCTGTCTATCAGATGGGAACCTACTGTTGATCAAGGTCCTATCTGCCGGCTTTGTTCTCTCAGCACAGCCATTCTGCTGGGTTCCAGGCAATGCTAGAGAAATGTACCAGGGGGGCTTTACAGAGCTTGTGGGAAGACAGAATTAACAACTAATGGAATTGCTCCTCCCACTTGTTGAAGGCCCTTCGCAGGTGCCCTAATTATGGATTTATAAGCCTAAATCACCTGTGCGCCCCTTTCTGCTCACCTTTCCTTTTACTAACCTTGAGTTAGTTTCCTTTTCTTAATCCTTTGGCAGTAGATCCACACCTTGCCACTCATCAAATCCTCTCTACTGACATCCAATTTGCTTACTCTCATTAACTTGCTGCCGTTGTGTAAACCAGCCTGACATGGGCTTCCTGAGTTTTCCTCTGGCCTTCCTCCTAATATATGCTCCTGCATCCATCTATTATCTTTGCTTCTTTTTGTAAAGAGGCATGGGGATGGAGTCCTCAAAGGCTAATCTTTCACCTGTAATCTTAACCTCATTCCTTCAGTCTACAATCCTGTGGCATCTATTCTTTACCTCTACAATATAATCATTCCTGTTAGCTTTTCCCCTTTGACTTGGAAACATGCTCAAATCTTAAAAAGTATGTCTTCAAAAAAATATGTTTTCTACTTCTCCTGCCTGTCACATGACCACTCACCCCCCCCCACCTTTATTTGCTATCAGCATCACTTTGTACACACTTTATCTACTGCGACCCACTGAGCCTGGCTTTCACTTCCACCATGCTGCACAAGTTCTTTCTGCAAGAGGGCAGCAATTTCTTAATCATTATCAAATCCATTATCTAGTTTTAGCCCTTACTGTGTTCACCTTCATGACAGCGATTGATTTTTCCTTGTCTTAGCAGTTTTCCAATTTATAATTTTCTGTATTATAATTTTCCTTGTTTTCCTCTTACAACAAGGGCCGACCCTGTGTATTTTCTTTTTCTACTTCCCACTCCTCTGCCTGTTCTCTAGATGCTGGTCTGCAGGATCCTTTAGTTGATAGTGTTCTGGGTTTGTGTGATTCTCTTAGTCTGTTCTGTTTCTTCTCAGACTTTGGATCTCACTTAATTACTTCCAGATTCCACGTCTTTTCTGAGTGTACTTTTCTCTTGTGTATTTCCACATACATGCACCTCCAATCCAAAAGCCATCTTACCTATCCTCCCAAACGTGGTTTTTATAGTACCTGTACTCCTTGTACGTGAGCATGTATGTCTGTAGCATCACACACTGCATAATGTCCATTCAGGAACCATCTGCCCAGATTCACCTGCATAGTCCTGAAAGGTTATACTAGAGTTCAAGAAACCCAACTGGAGAAGGATTGACTTAGTGATTGCAACACACCCTTGCACACAGCACATGCATCTCATGTCTCTTGTATCCAAAGGGATTGTGCTACTGGGTGTATAATGATACAGTACACATATAGCCACAGTACATGTCTCTGGATTGTCCTAATAAACACCTCTGCTACTGGGTAATGTATGAGCTGGGCTGTACTTTCTATCTGAAGTGTATGCTCTGGCTCGTGGGCAGCAGCAACTAGTCTCTGGTATAGTCCTTCTCAAGCGTTGTAGCATTATCTCTGTTTAATTTTCTTTGAAAAATATTACTGTGAAGGACGCTGTGGCTCCCAATGCAGTAAAACCGGTGCTAGTGATAGCAGCAGCAAGGCAGCAAAGGAAAATACACCAATTACAAAGGGAAACAAATGGCTGCTATCATGAAGGTGACAGTGCACACTACTGCTCGGCACGGAGGCATGCCTTCTTGACAGTTCCTACAGTCCTTTGGAAGAAAGGGAACGTTCTCTGAGCTGTTCAAGGATCAGCTCTGCTGAAAGCTACAGAGCTAATGAAAATGTGAGAAGAACTTAGATATGTAGAAACTGCTAATGACGTGGATCAAGGGCCAAACACAAAAGCAAATCCCTCTTGGCATGTGAGGGTCACTGCTAAGACAGGACGATTGTTGGAGACGCTTCAAGAAATAGCAGGACCAGACTATCATGCAGTGTTCACACAAGGTCCAAATACCAGTGTCTGCCTTCACAGACTGTTTCGTGGATAGTAGGCTACCATGATGATATGTGTGTAATGTCATTGTACTAAACATTCTCAAGTGGGGAATAGAGAGGTAGCCATCTCCTCACAGTTACCCAGCATTCCTCCTCATATAGCTCTCTATCTCTAGAACCTCCAAATTCTCCCTCCTAAAAAGCTCGCCATTCTCTCTGTCCTCACTGCTGTTGCCTTCGCCTAACCAGCGGTTCTCAACCTGTGGGTCGTGACCCCTTTGGGGGTGGAACAACCCTTTCACAGGGGTTGCCTGATTCATAAGAGTAGCAAAATGACAGTGAGGAAGTAGCAACGAAAATACTTTTATGGTTGGGGGTCACCACAACATGAGGAACTGTATTAAAGGGTCGCAGCGTTAGGTAGGTTGAGAACCACTGAAAACGCTTATCTCTTGTGAAAAGTGTTGCTACTACTCTGTTTCCCCGAAAATAAGACTGTGTCTTATATTAATTTTTGTTCCAAAAGATGTGCTAGGTCTTATTTTCAGGGTATGTCTTATTTTTCCATGAAGAAGAATATGGTACACATTTATTGTTGAACAACAAAAAAGGAAATTTATTACCTGTATACCATTACTACCATTATTTCCATGTACAACAATCTATGGTACATTTACTCATTTATTCAATGACAGCCATCATCTTCTGGAACCTCATCATAACAATCCAAACCCTAAATTTCCTGGTGAATTTCTTGTGACTCCATTTCTTTCAGAATCAGTGGACCAAAGCTCTCATGTTTAGCAATAGCACAGTCCTTAAATGAGTACTTCTTGTCAAGGTAGCCTGCTCGTAGTGCATTTGCAATGCAACTGTCAGTGACTTTCTCCCATGCATTCTTCACCCAAGTCACAACCTCTTACAGTTTAGGTTTCACAAAGTTTCCACGCTGATTTCTCTCCATTCTATTTTCAGTGTAGTCATTAATTTCCATGCACAAATTGTCCTTGAATGGCTTGTTTATTGCAATATCAAGAGTCTGGAGATAGGCCATCATTCCTGCGGGAATCATTAGTTGATCTATTTTTCTTTCGTGAAGAAATGTCTTCAGCGTGGTGAGTGCTGGCTGCGTCCCAGACTAGCAGACTTCTTTGGCTCCCTCGCATAACAAGCGGCAGCATTAAATCGACCCACTTCCTTATAACTGCTTATGTGGTCCAGGCTTTTTCAGTTTCAAGAATAAAAATGCCCAAAACACATTCAATCTTTTCCTTCTTGCCCTTAGAAATGATTAAAGGTGGGATTTTAGTGTCCTCCAGACGAATTGCCAAAATACAGGAAACGTGCACTTTCTTAAGCAGTGGAGGGAATGTACACTGAGGAGACACCCTGCTGTTCAATTGTTGTTTGAGAAGATTGGCCCATAAACACTGCAGTTTCATCCATAGCAATCATGTTGGAAAGATTGTATTTAGAGAAGTCAGCATCATCAATAAAGGACTTGAATGCAAGTGCTCGCTTAATAACTTGAGCATCTTCCAGCCGAAACAATGTTGTGGGTCTTTTACAGTTCACTTCACTGAAGGAAATTATCCAGCCTGTGTTGTGATGCTTTGAAGTCTTCAGGGACTATGTCAAACTGTGGTGCCATTGCAAGGGCAAATTCTTGAATCTGAGCCCTGTTCACAACCAAAGCCTTTGCTCTCCTGCCCACAACCCATTCACAGATCAGGTTTTCCAGCTCGGAAAATAATGGTTGCTGACCTGATCCACACTTGTGCTTTTTAGCATTTCCCTTGTCCACTTGCTCAGTGAGGTTACCATACTCTGCTCACCATTTTCGGACCAATCAGATAGTCAACATCTTCTCTTTGCAGAAAGCAATAAGATTTGGCCCCAAGAGTATTCCACGATTCCTCTCTTGTACTCCATGGAGTAGCTTTTTGTTTTAGCCCTCATGTCTAGGGGTTTAAAAAAAAAATGACACTGGGGTATCAGGGTGGGGGGAGGGGGGGTCACTTAAAATGACACAGGAGGATCAGAGGGGGGGGGAATCAAAATGACACAGGAGATTGGGGGGCGAATTACCATTTTGTAACCCCCCCTTCTGATCCTCCTGTGTCATTTTAAGTGATCCCCCTGCCCCCACCCCTGTGGACACCTTTACCAGCCATCCTCTCCCCCCACCCCTTTATCAGACATTTACGCCCTACCTCAGTCACCTTGTGTGTCCACACAGTGTGTCCGACTCCTGCCCCTCGCGACTCACTGTCTATTGTGAGTCAGCCAGACTCGTCAGAGCAGAACGAGCAGCAGGCGGCAGCTTGTCCTGGAGGCACGGGCTCTCTGATTAAAAGAGACCTCACACTTCCTGTCTGCTGTGCTGCAGCCAACGGTGAGCTGCGCGGCCGCTATGGTCCTGAGTCCAGAGTTACGGTAGCTTGGGGGGTGGGTCTTATTATCGGGGAAGCCTTATTTTCGGGGATGTCTTACTTTCGGGGAAACATGGTAGATTTCCCTGTACTTAATCTTTACCCTTTCCTCTTTGCTATGCTGAATGATGTTCCAAATGCATCGTAAAGAAGGCTTTGGTTTAAGCCATGTTTTGATTACTTATTTGCAAGTGTTCCAGTTGCTCAGCATGCCTGACAGGCCTGGCTCTCGGGGACCTTATGCCCTTCAACCTTGCCCCTCCCCGCACCCTTCCTTTCCCCACCCGATCTTTGGAAATACTCTTAGCAGCCTTCTTACCTGCTTTCTGTTCTGCTCTTTCCACCTAGCTCCTTCATTCAACAGCTGTGAAGTGGTGTCTGTTCTATGTCCCTACTTGTCTTTTTAAACCCAGCTCATAATTTACTATTTCTTGAAGTCATGTGACTTCGAATAGTAAATAGAAATTTACTATTTCTTGAAGCCCCATAAAGCCTACTCGTTTTAGCATCCTATTAAAGGGAAAGGCCCTGAAGGAGATGGATTGCCACTGTGATTGCCACAGTAGGCTCAAGTGTGGGAACAATGATGAGGATGACACGGGACCGGGCAGTGTTTCCTTCTGTTGTGCATAGGGAGCATCAATTATGGATAGGACCCAACTTGATGACACCTGTCAACAAAAACATAATATAATGAGCATGCATACTTTCTCCTATGGAGTGATGCAATTTATATTGTACATCATAAAGATACCAGCATTAAAGCGGTAGCTGAGTGAGCAGCAGAGCATTGTTGGTAGAGCTCATGCAAGGAATGAGATATTTGCAGGAGGAGTAAGTACTCCTAATGAACAAACTAAGGCACGAGAATCTGCCCGGAGGTGGTAGGAAGATGAATGTTTTCTTCTCCATCTGTCTACCCGAGGATCGCTGTCTCCTGTTATCACTGTCACCTGAGCAGCGACTGCCTACTTGGTGGCTGTCTCTACCATCTGGGTTAGTGACTGTTACAATAACCTGTGTTTTCCTCGAGGCAGCAACTTCTAATACCACTAGAAAAGGTTTTCCGTATGTATTGGCTCCCAAGGAGTCTCTGTGTCTTTCCACCTCCTCTTCATTCAGTTTTATGCTTGTTTTGGTTTTTGGTGTGGTGTTTTGTTTATTTCTTTCCCAATTCATGTGTGTGTGTGTGTGTGTGTGTGTGTGTGTGTGTGTGTGTGTGTCTCCTGTTAGTCTTCTCCGGCCATGATCAATCTGATTTGTTCCCTAAACTCATTAATGCATTTCTTAGGATGTTGGAGTCTGACATTGGTTGGGTGCCTGAAGCTAGCTAGCATTGGTACCAGTTTAGTTTTTATACCAAAAATTTCATTTGATTTGAAAATCTAAGTCTGTTTAATTACATTAAAATGTTTTGAAGAGACAGTTGTTTAATTTCTGCCTTTCATGTATTAGACTAAATAACACAGCTATGTTTTATTAGCAAGCAACTGAGGTTTTCACCTTTTTCATCTTATTAAATATTTCCTCCAAGTTAGTGATTTTCCCCCTCTCTACTAAGTACCATATTTCACGTAGCATATGTTCACTGGAAGGGTTGCATGCGAGCATGTTTCTGCAAGAGCACACGTGCTTCATTTTTACTTGAAAACATGGTCTTTCACTTCCCTCATTATTAGTTTGGATTCTTAGTAATTAAATGCCATATCCTGTATTTTAAGCAGCTGCTAAGAAAACTCATAAATGTTATTCTTGATTAGCAACTGTGGTTCCTTCTTTTATTCATGATTTTGAAAAGGAGTTAAATTGCTTTAGTTCTTAGGCAGTAATTAGAAGGATGAATTATAAAGGGCTTCCTCATGTTAAAAATTAATATGTTCTTCTGATTTTAATAGCTTAACCAAACATATAGAAAATAGTGTACTCTCACATAGCACCTCTCTATTGTTACATTTTCCTTATTTTTTCACATTGATTGGAAATTCTAAATATCTAAGCATGCCATTTCATTCTGTTGTGCCAAGAATGTAGAAAGTAAAATCATCTTAATTTTTTTTTAAGTCAGCCATTATGTAGAGGAAGAGATGATGAGAGTGTTAATTATCATGCAAGTGCTTGATGAAGGATAGTTCTCTGCCATAATTACTGTAATCCAGATTTCATATAGTCATTTCAATGGCTATTAATCTTTGCCATTTTATATTTATTATCTCAGCTTTGACGTTGAAAATATTAACTTCAGTGGATTATCCTATGCTGCAAACCCCATAAATACTTACTTTGAAAAAGGGGGTTACACAAATGAGAAGTCATTAAAATTTCTCCATAGACTGTATATTTCATGTATATTGTGCTCAGTGTAATCTTCAGCTATTTGATATATGTTATGTCAATGTCAAAAGTTGCTTTGAAAACACATCCAAATACAAATACAGTGTCCATTTTCTAAGTACAACTTAAATTAGTTAAGCAAACCAACCATTAACCTTCATAATAGCTAAGAATGTGAGGAATTCCACTGAGAAATGCGAGTTCATCTTTTTTATTGTGATAAAGCTGTCTGCTATTGGTTATTTGCTCTTGCATATTTGAGCTCCATGTGGATACATTGGTCCTTAGGGAAAATTTCCAAGGAACTTTGGCCTTTCAGAACCAATGTATAACTTTTTGTCTTCCCTAGGATATGGAAAAATGAAATAAACAATACCAGTACTTTCCGAGTTTTGCCTCATCCTTCCTTTGTTTACACGGCTAAATTCCATCCAGCTGTGAAGGAGCTGGTGGTGACAGGATGCTATGATTCTGTGATACGGATATGGAAAGTGGATACAAGAGAGAATCCTGCCATATTGATCCGACAGTTTGACACTCACAAGAGTTTTATCAACTCTCTCTGTTTTGATACTGAAGGTATGTTAGAGAGTATGTGCCAAGTGACAGCTACTTGTTTGAAGATAGTTTTAATTTATTTTTCACTTGACTAGGATAATCATTATTGAAGCTTGAGAGATTTTAAGTTTTGATGGTTTGGGGGCACATTTAGATTCATGCTTATTTTGCAGATCACATGGCAGACCTAATTTCAGAAGTTCTCTTTATAGTTTTAAAGATAGTTAAATCCTAAACATTTAGATCCAGTTAATCTTGACTATAAGGACTAGTCATGCAACAGATGTGATATATCTATTGCATGGGATTAGTGTTTGTCAGACTTCGGTCATATTTTAATAAAGCTCTTTAAAGAGCCCTGATGGCATGTGGGTTGTGAGTTGGGCTGCTAATTGCAAGGTTAACAGTTCGAGCCCACTAGGGGCTCTGTGGGAGAAAGACGAGGCTTTCTGCTCCGGTAGAAAAGCATAGCATTGGAACCCCGCTGTGGTAGTTCTCCTCTGTCCTAAAGGTCGCTGCGAGTCGAAATTGACTCAGTGACTGTCAGGGAGTTTTTAAATTAAAAGTAAAAATGAGATAGGGAAAATACTAGTGCAATATGGAAAATATGTCTTGTAATTGTAGCAATAGGGTAAAAAAAACAAATGTGTGGAAGAGAAACATACACTTATTTAAAGATTTTCCTTACCATTCTATAATGAGTGTCATTATTTTAAAGATATAAAAGTAGATTATTGTATTAGCTTAAAGAGTAACTTCATTATGTCTATTAAATGGTCACTTTCTGCTTTGTATCAGATACTATTTGCTGGGTAGACTGTAGTTGGAGTTAGTGTGAGAACCAGATTAAAATGATTATGTCTGTTAAGCTCACTTTAACTGTAGGAATGTTAATAATGTGGAACACATTCAAAAAAGGTCCACCAAATAGGACCCCAAAAACCAAACTCAGGACCATCGAGTCGATGCTGACTCATTGCGACCCGAGGAGACAGGGTGCCCCTGTGAGTTTCTGAGACTCACTGCTAATGGGAGTAGAAACTGCCATCTTTCTCACTCGGAACAGCTAGTGGTTTCAAACTGCTGACCTTGTGGATCACAGCCCAACCCCTAACCAGTATACCACCAGGGCTGCAGCCCAAGGATAAGAGGTATCTGAAAATATTGTCATGATAAAAATAACTCATTTTCGAATTATTGAAGAGCAATGGAGAATTTATTCAAGTATTTGACCCCATAGCTAAATATGAAAGAAAAAAAAAAGGGGGGAATTGTTCCGTGCTCCTCCAGTGGGTAGATAGTGGGACCAAAACTACAGAAGACAGATTTTCTTTGCTCAAAATTAGAAAGAACATTCTAGTACATAAGCTGGTTTACCAGTTGAACAAGCTGCTGTGTGAAATATTAAACTCACAGTTGCTGAACAACCGTCTGTTATTAATTGTGTATACGGTATTCCTGAGTGTGTGTGAAGATGCATCGCAGGGCCTCTGCGGTCCCATGGAGCTGTAAGATAGTTTCACTCTAAGAATGAATGTTAGGCCGGAACACCTGTTATTGTTATTTTTTTATCCTGTGGTGATTCACCGAGTTCCCCCTGGATCTCAGGCATGACGGTACCCGGGGGCGGTCGGCTTCCATAAAGAAACTCCACAGGGCAGCTCTGCTCCTGCCTGTGGGTCCTGTGAGTTGGAATTGACAGGACAGCAATAGGCTTATGTATCAGAGTGTGGGTCTTGCTCCAGAATGTAAAATAGATTATATTGGTTAATAAAGACGAGGAAGACAGGTAAAATACTGGAGTAATTGATTCATTGGTTTGACCTTGGAATTGGAATCATATTTGCACACCTGGACAGACATGCTCATTTCTTTTTGTGTTCAAATTCAGGTAAGTGGTAAAGGGGTATAAACCATCGAGAATTACTCAACTCAGCAGAAAATCCATTTGAAGATAATTGGGATAGGAATAAATCTGACCTTTTTCTGTTTCACATGAAATTCCTTTTAGTGCCCTTTCGATTCTTTGTCTAACTAGGCTGTGGTTGCTCCGGCTTTTGCCCCGTACTTTCCTCTGTGCAGCATCCATAGCCAAGTGTTTTTCCCGCCAGGCCATCACATGTACTCGGGAGACTGCATGGGCGTGATTGTTGTGTGGAATACCTACGTCAAAGCCAGCGAAGCACAGCACTCGGTGCGCCACTGGACTGTAAGCAAGGTATCGAGCTGTGCTTCTTATTGGGGATTTAATTGAGAAATGATCTTAAAATCCATGTCAGGATAATCTGTTTTCTCTTGAAAACAGTCAAGCAAAATGCCGTTTTCCTCAGTCCCTGCAAAGTTATTGGGCCTTCCTGATGTCAAATTGCCAATGTGTCACTTACGGAAAATTTTCTACATTTTGGTCAAGCTTTACGTCCTTTTTTTTTTTTATTAGCTCCAGCCTGTACTATGACATTTAGTGATCTGCTCAATGAAATGTATGCCAAAAAATGAGGCAAGTTAGCTATTACTGTCTGTGAGTAAAAGCATTCTTTGCTTTGTAAAAATACTATGTTTATCAGCAGGGTGGCCTTTCAGAATTTTGTCGTTATGGTTAAGTTTGTTATTTAATCACAATAATTATTTGTTAAATAGTCCGAAGCACTTGAGTAACCGCTTTCATTTTTTCTTCTTTTTTTCTTAACCGCTTTCATTTCTATGGGCAGAGAGCTTCTAATAAAATGGCTCATATCTTTAACCATCACAGTGTTTCTATTTGGTTGAAAGTAATGATTTATTAAACTTGGGTTTGTTTCCTCTGAATTGACGTCATTTCTGCCTTGCCGGTTAAACCTTTGTTCTCCACTTTTACATGATAGATTATAACAATAGTTGTTCTAGTTTCAAGAAAACACTCTTTTAAGTGTCAAGAATTTCCATGAATTTTAGTAACATCTACTAAGTATCTCAGATCTGTTTAAAAATCTGTCTAATGTATTCTATTTTTAGTCATTCTCACCGGGTCTGTCAGATTAATGAATGATGTCTTATTGTAACTAATGTTGCACTCTTTGGGGGGGAAAACTGTCTAATTAGTTGTGAACCTGGGGGCTTGGCAGGGCTCCAAAGGTTGAGTCTCAAAGCAGAGTTTAATGTTCGTTATAGAAAGCATGTGTTTTCGCAGCATGGTACAATAACTAGCAGCTGCGTGTACCTTGAAAGGCTGCAGCGTGGTGACTACTTGAGGCGGTCCCAAAAAGAAAACGGACGTGAGCTGGCGTGGCCGGTTGGTAGCCATGGGGCTGTCCAGCCCACACTGCTGCCTCTGGACGATGGGGTGTCCGCCTGCTCTTCCACACACCCCTTGGACCCAGTCACTGGCTGCAGCGGAGGCCTTTTTTTTTTTTTAATCCTGAGAATGAACATGATTTAAAAAAAAAAAATCACTAGCAGACACTCCGAACACCAGATCTTGCAGCAGCTCTCAGATTTACACTCAACCCTTCACTTGTGAATGCGGTTTGGGTTTTGCTTTGGCACATTTGCATGTGTGCAAGTGTGACTCCCGTTGCTCAAGCCCCCGCCAGTGCTTCCCCCTGCCCCAAATTGTCACTGTGCAGCTCTGTGAGACCCCCCCATCTGGGGTGTCAGCATTTGACTCGTTCCTGTAACGTTTGGAAAATAGCTGACAGCAGGCCTTGGTGTGAGACAGCTGTCGCAGGGGCTGGGCGGCTGCTTTCTGAGCTGCAGTGGTGGTGTCGCAGGGTGTTGCCTGCGCCAACCCTCCTGTGAGGAGCAGCCCCTCCAATCAGGGATCCCTGCAGCGAGAACACGGCCGATTCAGAACTCTGCCTCCAGGTGATAGCAGGCTTTCCTCTGGCTGTGTGAGGCCATGAGCTCAAGAGACTTTGCACGTGCAGTGTTTTCTTTGTCTCAGTAATCCCAATTAGAAGGACTTCTGGTAATTCTTCCTGTGGAAGCCTTGCCCAGGCAGGTACTCCTTCAATATTTATGTCTTTCTTGACGTTATTAATTGGGTGTCACCTAACGTCGCCTTAGATAACTACCAACAATCCCTCCCCCTACACCCCGCAAAAAATGAAACTTTTCATTTAAGTTATTTCAGAATAAGAGTCTGCTAGTTTTACTCTACTGGGATGAGTAGACGTGTATCTGTTGGTCTGTTGAGAGTGGAGGTAGATTTAGAAAGTTAAATATATACTTACTTTTGAATTGATATCATTCGGGAGTTACAGGACTGAATTAACCACAGCCTCATCCACCCTAAGGCCAGAAGAACTAGACGATGCCCTGCTAGTACTTGAAGCCAATCTGACCAGGAACACACAGGGTGGTCCCGGAGAGAATGGGAGAAAATTAGAGCGGCAAACCCAGCGCCTTGCAAACAGCCAGACTGCAACGTGCTGCATCAGTAGAGGCTCGAGGAGTCCTGAGGCCGTTGCTCAGAGACGCCATCCGAGCTTTGAACGGGATCCTCTCCCAGAGCCTCCCTTCCCTTTCGTAACGGATTGGCTCGTGGAAGAAACATATTCCCTGTGAGTTCTGTGCTCCAGCCCTCAACCTCTACACTGCATCAGCGTCGAGAAGGCTGCGTGACAGGGGCAGGGAAGCTTGATTCCTGGAAATGGAGCCGTCAGGATGAAAATGGGATGATGGCACAGTGGGGCAACTGGGACCCGTGGCCCTGAATAAGTAGCATGTCTAGAAATCATTAAATGGGAAGCTACGTCGCTGTGTAAGCTTTCACCAGAAACAATAAAATATTGAAAGAAATGAATGCAAAACAGATCAGAAGCTTTCTTATACGGTGGTAAGCTAAAAATAGAGTGCTAGAAGATGTGGTTGCTGGTTCGAGAATCAACAAACTGTGGGAAAGTGAACATAGTGCAGACAACACCAACATGGCGTTAGGGAGCTGAAAGCAACTAAGCAAAACTCTGTCCTTATGTATATTCAACTCCGAATTGAAGTTCCTGGTAGTCTTTTTGCTAACAGTTTTATAGCCAAATAGAAGATGGCTTTTTAAAATTAATTTTAAAATTTTAGCAAGAGACCACTTTTGGGTAGTGCTACTTTTTAACTATTTTCTTTTAAATTGTTTTAGGAAATTAAAGAGAGTGAATTTAAAGGTGTCCCAATAAGCTATTTGGAGGTTCATCCCAATGGGAAACGCTTGTTAATCCACACCAAAGACAGTGCTTTGAGGATTATGGACCTCCGCATGTGAGTATATTTCCTTTTTATGGGCTGTGTGTCCATAGAATAGATAATGAATTAACAGTTCTCAAATACAGCAGTGGCTCACAGCCAGGGGAGGTTTCCATCCCATGGGACATCTGGCAAGTCTGGAGGCATTTTTGACAGTTGCTACTAGTGGGGGACAATCTAGTGGGGAGGCCAGAGATACTGTGAAGCACCCTGCACTTCATAGAACAGCTGCCCACAGCAAAGGGTTATCTTGCCCCAAATGTGGAAAACACCCAAGCTAAGAAACCCTGAAAGCAGTCAGCTGTTTTCAGTCTGCACAATGAAAAAATAAATAAAAAAAACCTCTACCCTCAATAGTGATGGGATGTCTGCTGTGATACTGCCACCGCCAAGTGTGGTCTCTCAACCGGAGCTTTCGATGAACACAGCCTTGTTTTGCATCTTTAACTCTTAAACAGGGCACACTGAAGGGAAACAGCTTTGGTGTAGGAGAGGCGGGTCCTTGGGAGCAGCATGTCCTTCCAGGGGGCTTTGTTTGGTCTTGGTGTGGCAGCTCCCGTGAAGTCAATGAGAGCAGGATGTTCTTAGCACTGTTATTTCTAAGCTGTCCTCAACATAGGATGGCAGAGTGACCCTGCATGTCCTCTAATATCCTACAAAGAGCTCTTGGCCTGCTCATTAGGCCCATCAGTATTTATATAAAGGGGCTCATAGAATGCAGTGGGAGAATGACAAGCAGGTTTAGCACATCAGGAGTTTGTGACCTATTTGTTCATCCCCAAATGAGACATACAGCATCCATTTGATGAAAGGGTGACATCCTAAGTCTGGAATCTGCTGCTGCATTTTTTCTATATACAGCTCTTGTAATTATTAATGCCTGACAAAATCCAAATATGGAATATATATGTAATAAGTGCAAATATACAATAAAAGGTTTTTTTTAATGTTCATAGTAAATCTGACTGCTCTAATCATCTTGTGCTAAAGACGCTTAGAAAGGTTGTCCATTGAACTTGATTTTGAAGGACAGGTAGATTTTAGACAAGAGGAGACCCAAAATGGAACTTTCATCTGGGGAATGGAAAGGAAGTCCAGTGCTGAGGTAATAGAAGGTATACTTGGCCAAATTAGTAAGCCAGTCTTTACAAACCCAGGTCTCTCTTTATGGGGCATCTTGAGAGAGACTTGTTTAGAAATGAAGATTGGTGCCAGGTTTTTGAAGGCCAGGCTAAGGAATGTGGTTATTCTGCTTGGGTAGTGTCATGTGGGCTCTGGAAAGCCCTGCTGGGATTCACACGCTGCCTCGTGCGCCTCTTACGATTTGGTCAGCCTCTCTGTGCCTCTCTCTCCTCAGCTCTCAAGGCGGTGAAGGGCTACTGCACTCATAAGGCTTCAGTGGGGGTAAACTAAGTTAGTATATGTAAAATAATTGAAAACAGTATAGCATGTAGCACAGGCTCCAGAAACGTTTGGCTCAGTAACCCAGGCATGGGAAACTATCTTAAAAAATATCTGCAAAATGGTACAGGCCTATTTTTATATACATCTATAAGATTGTTCATAGATATCATGTTCATGGTGGGGTAAAGCTGTAAAGATGATCAGTGTGGTCCAATAATAGGATATTGTTAAAGATAAATTTAGACAATTATATATGCCCACTTAAAATGGTAAAGTATAATCCTAGGTTTTTTTTGACATGATTTTTTTTTTTTGAGTAGGGAAACCAAACACAACCCTGATTACAAAGCAGTGTATATAAAGTCTCTCTGTAAACCATAGATGGTAGTAGTACTTAACCTGGTGCATGGCACTAAGTGCTGACTGTTACTTGCTAGTGAAAACCTTTGGAATTGTGGGTACTATGTATAATCGGTGATTTTAATATTTCTCCAGAGAAATGTTACATTACAGAGTGCCTCCCACATAGCACATTTTCAAAATATACTTGTTGAATTCCAATGATTTAAAAGAAACATTATTCTATCATCTATATTGTAAGTGTATACAACAGGAACCTTGCTGATGTAGTGATTACATGTTGGGCTGCTAACCAGAAAGTCAGCAGTTCAAAACCCCCAGCCACTCTCAGGGAGAAAGATAGGGCCTTCTACTCCCGTAAAGAGTTACAGTCTCAGAAACTCACGGGGGCAATTCTACCCTGGTCCTATCGGGTCTCTCTGAGTCGGCATAGATTTGATGGCAGTTAAGTTTGGATTTGTTCTGTTGTTTTTTTTTAAGACTAGTTACATATGTAAAAAGAAGTTGTTTTTATTTCTAGATTAGCAGCAAGGAAATTTGTAGGTGCTGCGAATTACCGGGAGAAGCTCCATAGTACATTGACACCATGCGGGACTTTTCTTTTTGCTGGAAGTGAGGATGGTATCGTGTATGTTTGGAACCCAGAAACAGGTAAATATGAATTGATCACCACCACCCCAACTTTTTTTTCTTTGTTTTTGGTGTTTGAAGACAAGGAAATTTTAAATTCAGATTTTCAGTTGGGTCTTTTAAGTAAAGTTGAAATGCTAGTAAAATAGAATTCAGCTGCAGTCTAAGTGGTTACTAAACTCTGTTCTTTAGTATTTTGTTCTTCTCGTAGATTTAGAATGCCACATAACAACCAAGGTTCAGGTGTTTCTTACCCTGCGTGAGACCGTGTTGGTGTGGAGGGCAGAAGGAGCCCTGCTGGGGGAATTGGTAGCACATTGGGCTGCTCACTGCACAGTCAGCAGTTGGATGCTCCCAGCTGCTCCGCAGGAGGAAGAGGCGGCTTTCCACTCCGTCCAGAGTTACAGTCCCGGACGGTCCCGGGGCCAGTTCTGTCCTGCCCACTGAGTCGGAATCGACTGGATGGCACTGACTTTGGCTTGAGGGATACAGACGACAACTGCTCAGCTGTGTCAGCACTCACAGTCCTCTTGACCTCTTCGTGAGCCCATTCATTGTCTCTAGCTGGTGTCTTCAAAGCCTCACTGAAGAAGTTGGATCACAAATAGAAAGAGGCATGCTGGCAGAATAAAATAAGAGTTTTAATAACAAAAGTTCTCAAGTACTTGTAAAGTATTTGAGGCTTTCTGTGAAGTGAGGTGGCCTTTATCATTGTTGTTCTTAGGTTCTGACCCATGGGGGCCAGAGGAGCAGCAGAAGGGCCCACTGCCCGGCCCTGCGCAGCCTCACACGTGTGCTTACCTTCGAGCCTGCACTTGCAGCTTCTGTGTCAGCCAGTCACTCTTGTCGAGGCTCTTCATCGTTACAAACTATAAATGTGCTTTCCGTTTTAAAAGTTTGTCACCAGCACTGCCCAAGACAGTGTGAATGATTGAGTGCCTTTTCTTTTTAGGCGAACAGGTAGCAATGTACTCTGACCTTCCTTTCAAGTCACCCATTCGAGACATCGCTTATCACCCTCTCGAACATTTGGTTGCGTTTTGTGCCTTTGGGCAGAATGAGCCGATTCTTCTTTATATTTATGATTTCCATGGTAAGTCCACTACTTGATACGTCAAGAGTATTTCATTTCTATGTGCAGACAGTCAGGAATCATGAGTTCTGTGAAAGCTATCGTCCTTTGTGAGAACACATCTTTGTGGAATATACTCCAAGGACGGAGCAGATTAATAGATTGTTATTGTGATAAGATGTTTTATTTCTTCATAAGCATGGTGGAGTATGGAATTTGTAGGCAAGAGTACACGCAGTGATGTGCTCTTCTTGGGATCTGCAAGATATGTTGTCAGTACTTTTTGTAAATGATTAAAAACTGCTCAATTGGAACATGCCCATTAAATTTAAAAGGCAAATCCCATTTTGGAAGTAGGGATCTTTTCAATTGAATAGTGAGTTAATGCCTGTGTGTCTGTCTGTATGTGTGTTTTACTTTTTATTGTGAATCGGGTAAAGGTTTACAGAGCATGTCATCAGTTTTACATTCAGTTATTCAGACACATTTTGTCTCAGCGCATCCATCGCACTAACTTCAACCTACCACTGCTTATCCCACTTCCTCCCTGTCCATCCCAAACATTGCGACTCATGGTAAATTGTCAAGCAACACAATACCATTCGCTGTTAAAGGCAAATGTTAGTAAAAGCAAACACTGCTCAGGGGGACTGACCAATGGCTTTCTCAAGTGATCCAAAGTCCAAGTCTGATGTCTAGTTTAAACATGTATCCTGAAACTGCCCTTCCTTTGTGTCTACTCTGAATCTTCATATAAAGGAAGAGCGCCATGCCGAACTCCTTTATAAGTGGGACTGTTACACAGGAAATACACAGCTCGGTGATTTCTTCAGACTCTTACGAGCTTAGAGATTATTTCACAACAGTCCTCATTCAGATTCTAGTGTGCTGTTTTAGGCTTTTGAAATTTCCACCAGTTCACGTTAAAATTCCATTATTTCTTTTTCCTTCAAGGACTTTGTTTTTGCCATGGCTAAATGGATTTCGTAATTAGACCACCCAAGGGAGTGAGGGTCAGCGGTTAAGCTTTCGGACCATAGACACTGAGTTGAAGTGTGTTCTTGGAAAGTAGAAGAGAAAGGTGTTAGGATCTGTTGTGTTTTTTTCAGTGCCTTTCATAAGCCTGTCTGAAGCTTCATTTCCTCACGTTCTAAATGATACCACGACTAATAAAGTGTTACTGGCAAGGGATATTAGTAAGGATTAGAATGAGAGTAACTTTGAAAACGCCTCATAACTTGATAAGTACTCTACTCAAACACAGCGCAAGTAACAGAAGGTGAGGTCGAGTGAGCAGCTTATCCAACCAGCGCACACTTGACTCTACAGGAACTTACAGGAACTTGTAAGAGGCTGCCGCACATCTTTATTTGGAATGGAATCAGAATAAAAGCTTCTGTGCTTTTTCTCTTTTTCTGCTCATCAACCTTTTCATGTATTTCAAAGCGGATGATGCCTTTTTGGGTAAATTGTGTTGACAAATAAATGGATAAAGCTAAGAATAAAATGGCTTCCTGTCTTTAAGTGTAGAAGGAACAGTTTACACAAGCATCTTAATAGTAAAACTGTTGACGTCACACACACGGACTGGAAATGATTTTGTGCACGGTCTTTAGAGCACCAGGTTATCTTTGTGATATCCTGAACACCTTTCCAAGTGATTAAAACTCAGAATGTTTCACCACCTGTCCCCAGATCTTTGCTGCCTTCTTTTCAAATGAGGAAATTCAGGGAGAAGTCAAATAATCTGAAACAACCCAAGATTTCGGCTAACTCTTGGGAGTGGTGTACATTCCTAAGAAAATGAAAAGCTGTTTCAGAGTTTAAACTATTTCACTCATTAAACGCAGGTCAGAATCATTAGGTCAGGTTGTCTTCAAAGTTGTCCTTCAGAAAGACAATCCTCTCTCTCTCTGACTTCCTCTGCAGTAGGCTTCACCTGGGCTGCACACCTGTGTTGCTGGGAGCTGGATTCGACTCGACAGATGGCAGTGTGTTTTGAGAATTCATAATATGTAGAACAGTCAGGTTTAGGAATAATTTATTTGAAGACAAACTTAAGTAAGTAGAGGACAGATCAGGTTTCAGAGTGCTGGTACTATATTGATTTTAGCTAATTTTCAAAGAAAATAAAGCAAGCCCCCCCCCCTTTTTAATGTTAAATAAGCTGTGAACAAAACCTTGGATATTAAATGTCTATCAATCAGACACTATCTTAGTGCGCAAAATATCCTAAGAGCAAAGTTTAACCTTACATAGGAAAGAAAATTCATATATTGAACTAGATTGGTAGCTAAATCTGTCCTCCACTTCTCAGTTCCAGCAGTCTGAAGAGTCAGCAGGGTCTGTCAGTGTTGAACGTATGCACAGGCTGTGGTCTTTGGGTCTTTCATTTTACTGACTTTTTTCTGGTAAGAAACATGATTTCTACTTTCAGAAGGCAGTTGTATTTGCCTGGTGCTGAAAGGGTTAATCATACGGTAATACAAAATTTAGTCAGAGAGTACCACAGATAATGTACTTTTAGGTTTCCCATAATAACAGAGTGCTAGGCAGAGAAACAGCTTCCACTGAATTAACATTTGCAAAGCTCAACTTTAGCAATTACTGTTCTGATACTAGTCAGTGTTTGTCTCCCTCGGTCTCCAGAATGCCGCTCTGTGTTTAATAAGGGTCACAGGTAATGCTTGCTTGTTTACTGCTGGAAACATTTTACACTTATTCTTCAGTTTTCCCAGTAAGCTTCTCAGATACAGGTGCTATTATTATCTCCGCTTTGCAGAAGCCAGGATTTGCATCCAGCCCAGGAGCCTGTACACTTATTTACTAGAGTAACTTGCTTTTGTGGCAGGTGTTTCTGAATTACTAGCTTTTGATGGTCTTCACCAGCAACCTTTTTCCCCCTACCATACCATTTACACTATGCTCTTCTCGGTGCCTTTGCCTGTCCTATACTTGATAGGACACAGACGAAGTTGTACCTATTCTGAATACTGACATCTGATAAGTATGCATAGAATATTTTAAGTAGTGTCAAGTCTTCATTTGGGAGGTTCTCAGCAGAATTTAATAACCGCAGGTAATGAGCCAAATCTTTCACTAGGTGGCAGTATGTCCTCTGGATCAGGACTGGCTTGGATGTGCTTTGCCTTCACTGTCTTAAGGGTTATTATTGAGCACCAATTTTGTGCCAGGTTGCACTGGGCTGTGAAAGCTTGGAGTCAGGCCCAGGCTACCCTGCTTTATTTATTTGTTTTTTACTCTCTCGGGTGACCTAAACAGTTGACTCAAGCGCTGGGAGAATGTTTGTTCAATGTAAAAGCAATTTCACCACTAGTGCTAGATGTGATTTTAGTAATAGGATTAATGGTGTCAGCAGTTCGAAACTACCAGCTGCTGCGCGGGAGAAAGATGAGGAGGCTTTCTGCTCCCATAAAGGTTTACAACCTGGGAAACCCACAGGGGAAGTTCTACCTTGGGTCTGTGCTCCTGTGGGGTCACTATGAGTCGGAAATGGACTCCATGCCAGTGAGCGTGGCTTTTTTTTTTTTTTTAGTGGGTTTCTAAGGAGACCTGGTGATGCTACAACTCAGTTCTCAGCTGCTCATTGAAAGTGGTTTGAGCTCACCCAGTGGCGCTGTAGGAGAAAAGACCCGGTGATCCGCTCCCATAAAGGTTACCAAACCCACTGCCGAGTCAGTTCCAACTCACAGGGAGCCTGCCGGCAGACTGGAGCAAGTCCTGTGGGTTTCCAAGGCTGTGCTCTTCCTGTAACAGACGGCCACCTCTTTCCTTACCCAGCAGCTGGTGGGAGGGGCCAAACCGGGTCAGCTGCCCTGCCAGCAGGGCACCTTCCATGGAAATGGCAGCCGAGGAACGCCCGTGGAGCTGCTGGGAGCCTGGGTCAACTCTGCTGCATGCAATGGCAACAGCTAAGCTGCATGACTGAGTTTGATGCGAGTCATGGTTTGATGCTGGCTGAGACCAGGGCACATGCCCCTTGAGGTTTAGGTGAAAGTGTTTATGACACCTTATTTTCAATATATCAGACCTGGTGGCACAGCAGTTAGGTGTTCATGCTAATGGTGAGCAGTTCGAACCCACCAGCTACTCAACAGGAGAAAGATGAGACATCTGCCACCATAACAGTTTACAGCTCTGAAAACCATATGGGGCCATTCTACTTTATTCCCTTTGAAGGCAGTGGGTTGATTGGTTTTGTTTATCCTAATACATGCCATGCACATGATGGTGTGTGTGAATTACAGATTCTGTGGAACAGTGTTTTCCCCTGAAAGTTTATTTTAAAATCACAGCCTACAAGGCATGGCTGATTGATATGTTTGGAGCCGGTAATGGATAGGGGTGGTAGGAGCTATCATTTAGGAAACATTGAGCATTCAACATATATTACTTTGCGCAGTTTCCTCCCACCACAGCAGCAGGTGGGTAATATAACCTTCCTTTTACAGGTGGCGGGAAGGAGGCCAGGGGGAATGAGGTCGCCTCAGGTCACACAGTGACCTAGGGAAGCCAACATTTGATCGCAGGCTGACTCCAGAACCCATGTTCTTGAAACATCTCTCTCTCACCTGTTTTTATCAAGTGACTTAAATGAATTATGTCACGTCATAAAAAACGGGTGCTGCCAAATATTCCTGTGGTGAAATATGTTGTTTGTTTTTTAATATTTAGACCTTAAGATTAAAAGGAAGTATGTCTATCAAGTATTTTTAACTGTTTTTACAAATTTGAGGCATTAACATAATTATGAGCATTAAGTCATTGTGTTCTCAATCTAGTTCAATCTATGAATTTTCTTTCGTATGTAACATTAAACTTTGCTCTTAGGATATTTTGCACACTAAGATAGTGTCTGCTTAATAGAAATGTAATATCCAAGGTTTTGCATGTCACTACTGGTCTGGAAGCAGTGAAGATGGATGAGAGAGCAGGAGAAGGATAAACTATTGGAGGGTTTGATTCGTAGCTTCAGCTCTTGGCTGTAAAGTTGATGATCG